TTGCACACCTAGAAATCTTATACTTTTAAACTGTTCGAGATTTTTGTTTGTTTATATAGTTTTGATAAAATAGTTGTTTTTTTTTGTGAAAAACGGATAATCTGAGACTTTGCTATTCACATCCCCATCTATTGGATTGCTTCAGCTTTTGCCTTTTGCATTTTATACTTACAAAATACTAGGTTAAAACTTGGAATGCATACGGCTCTTTCATCTGCATTTAAAGATTAACCAATTCCTGAATCTACTTTATCAAATGTATCATCATAAATAATATTAATAATCATAGTAATATTTATTCTTATCTCTTTATTGTTGGAAAACATTTTCTTCAATGTTCTCTTTTTGCTGTCCTAATTGTTTTCTTAAAATTCATTTTAATTATGTATTGCGTGCTAAATTTCAACTTGTTTAAATGCTTTATTGCTTTCTTTAAAAGCTTTCTCACAGCTTTCATTCCCTTATGGCACTTTTTTCTTTTAAATGATTTGGGATACTTCTTGCAGCCCCAGCATAGGTGATCCCTTGTTCAGGTTTTTCCTTCTGAGTTTACTCTGCTTGTTACTTTGACAAACAGTAATGTATTTACTTCCTTAGTAAAAACAAATTTTATCAGCACTCACCTCAACAGCTCTCATCATTTTTTAAACGCCCTATTTTCCTTTATTTTGGTTCTATTTCCATTTTCTTTTATTTCTCCAGTGGTTATTTTTAAACAGACTCCACATATTATAAGCAACCTCATGAATAACCGTTTGCTTTATAATTGTCTGCCATCTAGTGGCCAAATATTGTATCTGCAATTATGGTTGAAAAATGACAACACATTTTTACTTCAATAGGCTAACACATGAATGCTCGAATCTTAAAGAACCAAAAGAAAAGAAAAAAATTAACTTATAAAAATAGTTAAGCCTAAATCTATGTTAATTTTGAGTTACTTTAGACTTTGAGCTTTTCCTCCTGCCCTTTGGCTCTAAAGAGGGATGTTACACACTGTGTACTGTATCCTAAAACAAGCAGCAACAAAGGATTTTGACCTAACTTTTTAAGATAATCGAAACACCTGCAGCCACTCTGTCGACTTAATGGTTTCTTGAAGTTAAACTATAGTAAATTATAGCTTGATCATTCAACACACTTTAAAGCTATAATTACAAATAGGAAAAAAAAAAATCCATTCTTTCTTAGAGACTTAGACTTAGAGTCACTATCTCGTTACAGTTTTAACTTTAAGATTTATTTAATGTATTTTGATTATCTCTTTATTGGTGTTTTCTTATCTCTTCATAGTAATTCACCATTATTTATTAAATATGTGTCTCATATTGGTCATTATGTCTGGCCTTTAAAGAGAGGCTGCAATTCTCTTTTATTGCACATCATTCGTTTATCGTATTTTTATGCTTTAAATCCCGATGAAACACCTGGAAAAAGCTGAATGATTCTTAAATATCTGCCTCTGAATGCAAACAAAGCCAATGTCATTGTCTTTGGACCAAAGTCTTTGAAAAAGAAGCTGTCACTTCATCTGGATGAAGATTAATCAGTGACAGCTTGCTCTGACATCAATCCTGAGATCTGGAATTGGAAATTCAAACATTGAAAATTCAAACCCTGAAGATTCCCCAAATCCCTCTAAAAAGGTAAAATCTGATGATACTGAAATCTTCAGCTTCAACATCTTTTCAATTAGAGATTATTTCAGCATCACTACGGGGTTCCTGTACCTAAACTTCCTTCAGAGTCCTTCAGTTTTTCCGGTACTCCTTATTATCAGCTTGTAGGGACATCATAGCTGCAGGAACTTTGCAGTGACACTGAATAAATAAAATGCTTCATCTGAAGATAACTGTTTCATCACCAGTGTTTCCTTTTTTAAATGGAATTTTGAAATTTCAGTGTTTGACTTTTGCATACTGAAGCGCGTTGATGTGTGAGAATGACCCAGTCAAAGGTGACACATATATAAATCAGTTATTATCATATTAGCAGTGGTGAGTGGTCAGGGCCTACACCCTGACCGCTCACCACTGCTTATATCAATCAGAAATACTAACCTACATTCATGACCTAAACTTTAATTTTCTTATATTACAATGCATGCTATTCATCTATTTCAAACAATACATTAACTTAATTTTTCTTGGCTGTGCTGCTTCCATTACATTTATGTGGTCGCTATATTTTTTGTCCAATCAGATTTCTGCCTTAGTGTGTTGCTATGTCAGTCAAATCTGCCCAAGGCCTTCAGAATCAGCAGTGCTATATCCGTTGGTTGTGCTGTTTTTTTTTACATCTCTTTGCAGGTGATGAAGCAGACAGAAGGCCTTTTATTGTTGTCTCCCTTTTATCTCCTCTTTCTTTCATCTTTTCTTCTTTTTCCAGTTTTTCTGTTCTACTTACATTGCAGTGTCAATATAATCTGTAATACTCTCTGCATGAATTATAATAAAGCTTTTTACATGCATAAATCAAGCGGAACACTATGGCAATAGAAGTACTGCTTCACTTGTAAAAGCAAAATCGGTTGGGCTCTCTTTTGGCATCAAGACAATAATTCTTAATCCACAATGCCAGACAGGACACTGAAAAAAAAGCAGTGCTGGCTGATGTTACCTTAATACCCCATAGGGCCAGCTACTGGGGCAGCCTGAACATCAGCATTTTCTGTCCTCTGATTGGTCAGTCAGAGCAAAATGTTAATGACTGATATTAAATGGAGATAGTAAGACTTCCCACACACAGACAGTGGGATGGAATTAGATTATAAATAATCAGCATCTCTGGTGAGTGTGATATATTTTATCTTCATGCTTTATACAATATATTATCTATTAGATGCATATTGAATCTAAACAGCTATTGGTGATGCAAATATGGTGGAGCTGTGGTTATAGAGGAGAGGATTACCGTTGCCCTAACTGGGCTTTTTGCCTAATTGATCTCTGTATTCACCCTCACACTAATCTTGCTCTCAGTTATATGTGCACTTGCTAAATTTCATATTTGATGGTTTCCTTCATTAAAATATGAAAGTGGTGATATTAACCCCTTAACATCGATCGTGGCAAATATACCACAAACAATTTGCATTCCAAAGATAGCATTCCTCTTAAAATGTGTTGTACATTTTATACTCAAATATATACATACATTTGGACCTCAGGGGATTTGCAGGTACTGAAGGCCTAGGTACCATATGCACCACCCGCCACTGCATATAAGTCATTATCATATAAATATTTAATAGTTTACTGATGCAACATGTTAAAGTGGGAAAAAATCAGATGGCAATGAATAATTTTTTAAAGTGCTGTAAGTTAGTTCACTTATCAAAAAACAAGAATAAAAATAAACTGAGTCAGACATAACCACAGATTCAAATAAAATTTATTTTCCAGCATTATATAGAACAAGACAGTACTTAAAAGGTCAGTGAAAATAAACAAGCCTCTTATAAAAAGTATAAATATAATATATTCCTCAGAATTTTAAGGACACTTTAAACATTTTTGACCAACAACATAAATAAACACTGGGCTTCTCTTTAAACACATTGTCTAAACCAGTAAGACAAAAACAGTAAATACTTCTTCTCTTTGGAAAGTTCATGGGGTTCTTTCCTTGAATCAAGACTTGACTGGACTATTTACAGTCTGTAATGTCAGCACCTTAAGAGGTGTTTTTCTTCTCCCTCTTTGTGTATGGTGTGGCTTAAGCAGAGCGAGGATCCCATAGAGATGTATCGCCATTGTTTTAGAGAGGCATTCTCTTCATGCATGGTGGTTTTCACTATTGGTTTCAGGTTAAACCTAACCGACAGGGTCGCTCTTGCCTTTTTTATGTGTTTACTTTGTCTAAAATAAACCAACAGCCACAACATAGTTGGACCACTGCTAATGCTTCGGTCTACTTCACTGTTTTTTTTCCTCCGTCGTACTGACATATGAAAATAGAAATGGCCTTAAGTTTTACATTTTGAAGGCTGTGAAAACCTCACTGCCATCACATTTGCCAGCATGAACCCTGCAAAGGTTAGTGTGTCAAAATATTTCCTGACCCAATTTATGGGAGGAGAAGACACAAATGTAGACTTCTGTCAGTTTGCAAGTACAAAAGTGCCTCTTTTTTAGTATAAAAGGCTAAAATGTGAGTAAACATCAATGTCTATGCCTGAGAAAATGTCAACAAACGTCTTGTGCTTTATAGACACACAAAAAAACAACACACATAACACATCTCCTATCCCTAAAGAGAATAAAAATTAATCATAAAGATTTGTGGAACTCTTCAAGCCTTTGTCTTCTGAACCTTCACTGCTCTATGTACATTATTCTTTAAGCTTTAAGACCCAACAATCATCTATAGCATTGGTTTAATATTACTCCTCTGAGATTAACAACTGTCTTGTTCTGAAAAAAAGACAGAGTGCCTTTGTGTTTGCTACAAGGACTGTGTCAGCAGCTGCTCATGAGATTCATTGACAATGCCCTTGTTGTAATAGTTTGGAGTTGCCACAAAGTTTTAAAGGGCCCAATTTAATGTTTTCCATACGGTTGCACAGAAAAGGTCCCACATCTGTGCATGGAAGCTATCAGTTCATTTGTACAGAGAGACCTAAACCAGCCCAGCTTCCAAGCACATTCTGTAAAACTGGCCCCGCTTTGAGATAAGGTTGGCTGGAGAGTCCATCTCAGAAATGTGGCCTCTATCCATGACGATCACTCTGCAAAACAGCAAAAACATAGAAATGCAGATTTAGTTTAGGTCTTTCCATTTACAAATCCTAAGAGCTGGTGCTGGATTTCCACTGAGATGGTAATATGTGTATATATATTAGTGTTGCACCAATACAGATACCAGTATCGGGCGGGGCACTGATTCAGCTCT